ACCATGGGAAAAGCATAGTGTCTGGCCTGGAGAGCACCCTTCCTCAAGGCACAGTCCCTCATGGCTTCCCTTGGCAGGGGAGAGAGTTCCCCGACCCCTTGTGCTTCCAGAGTGAGTGTAAGGAAGGAAGAGACAAAAAGGACATCCACACAGAGGGGCCTGTTAGAAGGAAAATTAACAAACAGGAATAGCATCAACATCAACAAAAAGGATGTCCACCCCACCCTGCTTCGGCTCAGCCTCCATGGGCTGCACTCACTGTCTAACCAGTCCTAACGAGAGAGCCGCATACCTCAGTTGGAAATGCAGAACTCAGGCACCTTCTGCGTCTGTCTCACTAGAAGCTGCAGACTGGAGCTGTTCCTATTTGGCCATCTTGCCAGCAACCCAATAAAAGGTGTTTTTCAAGGATGTGGAGAAATTGGAGTCCTCACACATTGCTGGTAGGAATGTAAAATGGTGCAGCTGCTGTGGGTAACAGAAGTTTCTCAAAAAGTTACACATAGAACTACCTTATGACCAACCAATTCTGCCACTGGTTATATACCTCTGAAGAACTAAAAACAGGCATTCATTCACACACCAATTTGTATATAAATACTCATTATTCACAGTAGCCAAAAGATGGAACACAACTGTCAAGCAACAGATCAATAGATAAAATGTGATGTATCAATAACATGGAATCTTATTCAGTCGTGAAAAGGAGCATGTACTGATGCATGCCACAACACAGATGAGCTCGAAAACCTTCACCAAATGAAAAAAGCCAGACCCTAAGGGGCACATGGTGTATTATTCCGTTTTTGTATAAATATCCAGATGAGGCCAGTCTATAGGGACAGGAAGCAGATTTTGGCTGCCAGGACCTGATGGCAGGGGTAGGGAGTGACTGCCTAATGGGAAGCAGTTTCCTTTGCATGTGTTGAAAATTAGAACTAGATTTAAATAATATATGCCTAACACTGTAAAAGTACTAAATGCCACTGGATTATACACTTTAAATTTATTTATTTATTTATTTATTTATTGAGATGGAGTCTCACTCTGTTGCCCAGGCTGGAGTGCAGTGGCACGGTCTTGGTTCACTGCAACCTCCACCTCCCGAGTTCAAGCAATTCTCCTGCCTCAACCTCCTGAGTAGCAGAATTACAGGTGTCTATCACCACACCTGGCTCTTTTTTTTTTTTTTTTCCCAGTAGAGAGGGGATTTCACCATGTTGGCCAGGCTGGTCTCAAACTCCTGACCTGAAGTGATCTGGCCGCCTCAGCCTCCCAAAGTGCTGGGATTACAGGTGTGAGCCACCGCACCTGGCCACTAAAATTATTTAAATGGAGAATGGTATGTTGTGAATTTTATTTCAATAAAAACACAAATATACATAAATATGTAGAAGGCTTATAATTTAACCATTAATGTAACAGCAGGGAATAAAAGTCTTTAGACAATACACAGTTGTTGTTTTTTTATATATATTTTTGAGACAGAGTTTCACTCTTGTTGCCCAGGCTGGAGTAAAGTGGCAAGATCTCAGCTCACTGCAACCTCTGCCTCCCAAATTCAAGCGATTCTCCTACCTCAGCCTCCTGAGTGGCTGGGATTACAGGCATGTGCCACCTCACCCAGCTAACTTTATATTTTTAGTAGAGACGGGGTTTCTCCATGTTGGTCAGGCTGGTCTCGAACTCCTAACCTAAGGTGATCCGGCTGCCTCAACCTTTCAAAGTGCTGGGATTACAGACATGAGCCACCGCACTCAGCCTATACAATCTATTTTTAAAATGATACATGGGCCGGGTGCTGTGACTCACACCTTTAATCTCAGCACTTTGGGAGGCTAAGGTGGGAGGATCACCTGAAGTCAAGAGTTCGAGACCACGTTGGCTAACACTGTGAAACCCCATCTCTGCTGAAAATACAAAATTAGCCGGTTGTGGTGGCAAGTACCTGTGATCCCAGCTACTTGGGAGGCTGAGGCAGGAGAATCGCTTGCACCCGGGAGGCAGAGGTTGCAGTGAGCCGAGACATCCCATTGCACTCAAGCCTGGGCAACAAGAGTGGAAACGCCATCTCAATAGATAGATACATAGACAGACAGACAGACACAGACAGACAGATAGAAAGATTAGATAGATAGATAGATAGATGATAGATAGATGATAGAAACTTTGAGTCATTGCTTTAAAAAAATTTTTTTTAATTTTTGCGATGGAGTCTAGCTCTATCGCTCAGGCTGGAGTGCAGTGTGCGATCTCAGCTCACTGCAACCTCCGCCTCCCAGGTTCAAGCGATTCTCCTGCCTCAGCCTCCCGAGTACCTGAGACTATAGGCACTGGCCACCGGGCCCGACCTGGGTCATTGTTTAAAGTGAAGCATATTTTTTTTCTTCGCAGCACATGAAGTCTGGGTGCATCTTAGAGTCAGGCACCTCTCAAGTGCGCTGAAACGCGGAATCTCAACTGTACACGCATTTAGTTGTGTGAGGCTCTTTGCTGTATGTGGCTTTTACTGCGTGAATGCTGCGGGACTTTAGCCTTGCTAAAAAGCCTGCTCCTGTGTATTCGGTTTCATTTGGGGTAACGGGCAGTCCGAACGATCTGACGTCACAAGTCTAAAGGTTTTCTCTGCCATGTAAAAGAAGTGCAGGGGTGGGTGGTCAGCGAGGCCGCGCCCTTTCCCCGCAGAGAAGCCAATACCCGACCCCTTCGGGGCGCTTCCTCCAAGGTGCACGCGAGGCGGGGATTAGCGTTTTCTTCCGTTCAGCTAAAAAGCGGGGTTTCCCAGTGCCACCCAGTGACAGCACGCGCGGGACCAGCCCCGGGTTTGGAGCCCCACTCTGTGGTCCCAGGACCAGCGCTCCGGGCTGTCTGGCTGGGTCCAGGGCGCGGCATCCTGCAGTGACAGAGCGTGTGAAAGTGAGGCTGAGCAGGAGGACAGCACAGCAGCGGGTTGTAACCCGGCCCGTGAAGACACCACCCGAGGCTGTGCGGACAGACCCACCACTCCCTAAGTCCGTGCGTGGCCAAGGGCGCGTCTTCCCAGCCATCAGTTATAACAGATCTGGTCAATCCAGTGCGTCTCATGAATGCACCACTGCGAGCAGCTCCCTGGCGCCTTGGACAGCACTCAGGGTAGTGCATTCGAAGGGAGCAGACCCGAGAGAGAAGACCAGGGGAGGGTGTGCGTAGCTGGGGAGCCGCCGTCCCGCGTGTCCCGTGCTCTGCCGGCAGAAAGTCCGAAAGGGCGGCCCTGCCCCCGGGGCCTTCTTGCTCGCCTGCGGCTGCCCGCGCCCACACGACTGCACCCCTCCCTCCGAGAGGGACCCCAGGGGCAGGGGAGAGCCCATCCCTCCTGGCTGCACCCCAGCCTCGGCGGTCCAGCCGGGACGTCCGAGCCTCAGGGCGCAGCGCCTGGCTGTGAGCCCTGGACCCACTCCCCTCTTGTTTTGGGAAAACAGAATAAAACCCCAGCGACCCGGAGACGGCGCCCGGGACCTGACGGGGACGCAGTTTCCCCAGCGACGGCCAGACGGACTTGGTGCTGCGCGGTCGTCAGGGCTGCTGGGTCTCTGGAGCCTGCAGGTGTCCGTCACGCCCTGGATGGTGAGAAGGGTGCCTGAGCGCGTGCGGTCCTGGGGTCTCTCGGGGTCGGCGCGGGCTGCGGGGGTGGAGTAGGCGTTGCACGGTCTGCACTCTAGGGGAAGGGAGGCGTCGGGTCCAGCTCCCGGACTGGAGGACAACGTTTCCAACGCTGCAGAGCAGCAGGGTCCAGGCCCAGAGCAGGCAGCAGGAGGGGACAGGGGCACACACAACATACACAACCACACCACACACGCTCCATCACACAACCACACCACACACTCCACAACACAGTCCATCACACAACACATACCCCATCACATCCCACACCACACAACCTCACACACCATCACACCACACACACACCATACACCACACACACCCCATTACACACACAACACAACCACACCACACACCCCATTACACACACAACCACACCATACACCCCATCACAACACACACTCCATCACACACCACACCCCATCACACCCCACA